TTCACTGGGCATTAAAAAGTCTTAAAAGGTCTTAAATTTAATTTGCCTTAAACTGTGGGAACTCTGTTTTCATTACCGTGTGTTTGTGACAGAGCATGTCCATAACCTGAGAGAGGAAAATAAGAAGTTGAGGGAAGCTCACCATGACATTCACTCCAAGCTACAGGATGCACAGGTGAGACGGGGTCAAACAGGTGTTTGTGTTTTGTTTGTGTGTGAGCCCAGGTTTTCTTCTTCTTTTTAAAGTGTAATTTAATTTACATTCGATTTTCAAAATAAAAATGCTAAGATTGCCGCAGGCTGTACAGCTCTCTATGTTTGGTTTCTGCTCTGAGTTCAGATCAAGCATCAGGACCTGAAGGTAGCCCATGACCAGCTCGCACTGACACTAGAGGACCACAAGAGTGCGCTGGCTGTCGCTCAGGTGACACCATCTGATCTTTTACCTCTGTTGTTAACACAACCGCTGATTATTACTGACTGTTTAACCGCGCAAGTTTCAAATATCTAAAGTCCAAGACAGCATGAATGGATTTTCAATGGTGAAATTGATTTCATAGAACAATAAATTTGTTTTATGCTTTCTATTATCCAGTTCAATCAAGTTCCATCATTCAGTTCTTGCAGTGTTTATTTTWTTTTTTTATAAATAATACACAAAGGTTGTATTTCAGAAATGCTTAAACTTCAGTAAAAAATATGGAGGATGCCAGAGGTTCTGCTTTGTGTTTCGAATCATTTCTTTATTTCTTCTTGACAAACACATTTAATAACTTTCAGAATGCTTGAATGATTCATTAAATATTCTGCTTTCCTCTCTGTCTCCTGCGACAGATATTCACTCACGCTCCTCTTGTTTCCTGCTGCTCTTTCTGTCTGCTTGCATTTGCTAATTGGTTTTAGAGCTTGTCCTGCTTTCCATTAGTGCTGCTGGTTGGACACGGACACACTCTTTACCTCGCTGTGTGTGTGTGTGTGGGGGGGGGGGGGGGGTGTTTGTCTGAGCAGTGCATAGAAAACAAGCTGAAGCTAACCTGCCTGAGAGTTTCAAAAAGGTGTGCTGAATCAAGACAAAGAAACAGGAAGAACTTTTAGTTTTTGTAGTTCTAACCTGGACAACATAATTATGGTATGTGAGCCAGAATACAAATAAATGCAAATGAACATTGAAATCACATCCGGTCTTATTTCTCAAGCATAGGTTTCCAGTTTTCAATGCACACACACAAACTTTATTAAACCTTATTACAGACATTATATAAGAGAAATAAATGGAGCTTAAAGCA